TTTTTAAATTCATTATGAAAAAGTAGTGATTATATAGTGATAGTAATATAATATAGTAATCGATTAAATTAATTTTTCCTAATCGATCCAATTTTATGATAACAAATGATAAAAATGATAAATGATGAAAATTTTGTAATAAATTCCATGATGATAAAAATTTTATGATGATTTGTTTCTATGATGAATTATTATGATTCAATAATTTTTCATGTATTATATCATAATAGTAATGAATAATAATAATAATAGCAGTTATTATCATAGATATTATTATTCATTATTATTATCACCATTACCATTATTGTAATCACTATCAAAAAAATATTGTATTGGAATTTCAAATCTGTCATAAAAACGTTGAATAATTTTCTTTATCTTCATCATTTTGATCATTATTATTATCACTTTTATCATTCTAATCATTATCACAATTATCACCGAAGCAGTGTTTTAGTAAAATTTCGAACTTGCTGTGAAAAATAAATTTGTTAAAACAAATTGGGAAAATTTTTATGTAAAAAATAAACTAAATTCCGAAATTTAGTTTATTTTTCACATAAAAATTTTCCTAATTTATTGCAATTTCGATTTCGATTTCAATTTATTCGATTTCGGAATCTCCGAATCAAAAATAAAAAAAAGCAGACTGAAATGATATAATTTTACAATTTCGATAAGCAAAAAAAAAGTAACAGAAAGATGAACACCAGACATTGTGAATATATGACGAAAAAAAATTTTTGTAAAATTTACCTAAGTAATTTAATTTTAAGTAATTTCAATAACAGCAAATAGTTGTTTCAGTAAGCATAACATAAAATAATCATTAAAAAATCAATCAATAGTTTATATTCTTCAACATAGGATATGGTTTAAATGATTTATTTTTTCAATTACAATAATTAATATTACTAATTATGTGTCATAATTAATAAAAAATTTTTGCCTACAATATATATATCGAATTATAATTGTTGATAAATTTACTTACCCCAATTATCATCAATATCACTGTTTACTTCGCACATATCTTGATGAATAATCCATCCGGTACCGTATTGATTATGCTGTGAACGTTCTAAAATGGATTGATAACCGGATTCTTCCAGAAATTCGGCTGACTTTAAAGCTTCTTTCAATGCACGTAAATCAAAATCCATATCGTAATGAAATTTCGGTGCTTCCACAAAATTAGCACTGTCTGATTTTGGTAGCTTTCTAAAAAATGTTAAAATTTTATTAGTAGGAGAAAAAAATTGTTATTAAATTTAAAATAAACAAAATTTCACTTTATTGTTATTATTTTTTAACAAAAATCTGAATGAAAAAAAGAGAAGTTTTGAAATTTAAATTTTATAAAGAAATGAATTTTTTTTCCAAAAAAAAAACAATTAAAAAAGAAAAAAAAGTGTAAGGGTATGATTTTGTTTTTTACTCTTAAAAATAACGACTATTTTTTTTAATGTCAATTTTTTCTTTCTGTAAAAAAATAAATTCAACTAATTTATTGTTCAATGAAGTGGATCTGGTCAACCTGGTCAAAAGGTGAAAAATTTAATTACTCTAATTACTTTTATAGCACATGTAAATGAGTTATAAATTTCTCAATTCAACTGCTTCATGTTTTATTTCTTTTACTTTCCTGTTTTGTTTTTCTTTTTTTTTCTTAACATTCATTATTCTAACTTTTATAAATCATTTAAATTATTTAAAATTTTTTAAGACTGTTTATATTAAAATTATTAATTTAATATTTATTAAAATTTTTTGTATTTTTGCAAAAAAACAATTTAATTTTTTTCAATATTTTTGAAAAAATATAAAAAAATCATTGCAAAATGTTTGCATTTAAAATGATATTTTTCAACATTCGATTATGCCAAATTTTGTATTCTTTTCAGCTATAATTACTAATAATTAATACAGATTAATTCCATTTTATAATCTTACCTATCCACCTGAAATTGGAATTAAAAGTATGACGAAATGATAAAATGTCAATATATTTTTATCTCTGCTATTACGCCATTACCTCTGCTATTATGCAAATGTAATAATGTTAACAAATTGCTATTCATTATGGATTAATTGGAATTAATTTGATAAATTTGAATTTGATTAGAATTAATTTCAATTAATTTGTTAGTGCAAATGTAATAGCAAATAGTTTGGATATATTTAAATAATATCTTTGAATATTTGATTTTATCAGCAAAATATTCTATTCGAAGATTTCATTGCTGAAAAAAGTAGAAAGATGATGGCAGTGTTAACAAATTGCTATTCATTATGGATTAATTGGAATCTTATCAGTGTTATCTTTAAAAGGTATGCTTATCAGATGATTCATAAGTTAAGCAGATGAAAAGATGCTGAAACAGTTAATAAATTATTAGCTTATTGTGGGTTATAGGAAAGGTAAAGTATCGATTGATTAATTATTATTTCATTAATAATGAAACAATTATTTATTTGAAAATATTTTTGAATAAATTTTTGTAAAACTTTGAAATCAAAAAACAACAAATAATAATGGCAATGTTTTCGAAAATTGAAATAAGAAATCAAATAATTGAAAGAAAAAAGAAAAAAATATATGTATATGAACATACTCATAGGCAGGTGTATTGGACAATTTATGTCGATGAATGGTAGGAGCGCAAACTGATGAGGTTGAGGCGGTCAAGCTACCGTAACACGACAATTGACCACCAGAAGACTCCCACAACGATCGTGATGGCTCTAATAGACAAAATGCGGTTCCCATAAAAAAAAGAAAAAAAAGAAAAATTAATTAAAATTAAAACTTACGACAGTATGAGTAATGGTCATTTTAATTAATGATTATCTGTTATGTTGTGATTTTTTTTTTAATTATCATTTTCATTCAATTTTAATTGAAAAAAATTTTTTCATAAAATAAAAGAAAACAATTTTAATTTTTTCACATTCGTAAAATTTTCCAAAAATAATTGAAAGAATGAGTATAATTAAAATTAAATGAATTAATTTATTGGCTGTTATTGTTTTTTGTTTTTATTTCTCCTTTTTTTTTTTTTTTTGAATACTTGGAGAATTCATCAATAAACTAAAAACTTTTTTATAATTAATTTTGGCATTTACCATCATCAAATCTAATCAATTGCTGGAAAAGTTCCAAATGATTAATGTTACCAAATAACATAAATTGTCGTAAGCTATCAACAAATTAAATCATTTTAATAGTTTGCAAATTAAAATTTGATTAAGAAAAAGAGAATTGAAAACATATTAATGAAAGAAGAAAAGGAAATTATATCAAAAAAAACCGGAAATTTACTAAATTCTTTTAATCATTGAAATTTAAAACTTACAAAATTCTTTTAATTATTAAAATTTATTAAAATAATAACCTGCATCAGTTGATCCCACATTTTCCATCAGAAATGTTTCGAAAAATGGATTCGAATAGCAATTTAAATTAGAGTGCGTAATTTTGAAATATATTATTTGTGTATCGATTAGCTGATAAGTTATATTTCTCCTTTTACTTGTTGTAATTGATTAAATGATTAAAGTTTGATAAAACAAAAAGCATATTGCTTTATCTTCTTCTTTTTCTTCTTCGTCTGATTCTTATCATTCATAAATTAAAAATCTTTTTTGCTTTGAACATTTTTTTTTTAACCTGAAATAGAAAAATCAATTGTTCAATGAGGTAGTAAAAGAGGATAATATGAATAAATACCGTAAAAAGCGCATACAATTTGAAAATAAATAATTAAACTTCTTTTTGGACCGAAATTTTTGCATTAACCTTTGACCTTGTCAGGAATTCGATGCATGCATAATGAATGTAAGTTTTGGTATTTGATTTATTAATTTTCTATCAAATTCGTGAGTGATTTAGCAAAGTAATATTACACTATATTATTACTATGCATTCAATAGTAACATGTTTTAACCTTGGAATACCTTAACTATCATTGGAAATTGATTAAATTATTGAATTCTCAAATTATTGTCCTTTTTCTTTGCTTTTGAATTTATAAAATTATAGTTATTATGTAGCGTAAGTGTGAGAATAGTACAAATATAAAATGGATTTAAAAAAATGAAAAATATAAAATGAATTCGAAAATATAAAATTAATATAAAAATATGAAATGAATGAATATAAAAAAATTTTGAAAAAATTAAAAAATATAAAATGAATTCAATTTTCTCTCATGCGATTCATATTTTAAAATTATAATTTGAATAAAAATATAAGTGGGAAAAAAAGGATAGTATTGTCCATTGTACCTACAAGTGGACACTTCAACTAACCATCTCAATACACACCTGAACTATTAAATAAACAAAATTGATCGATGGACAAAGTTTGATGGGTGTTAAGGGAAGAAAGAATGAAGGAAGAAAAGAAGAAAAGCGCAAAAGTACATTTAATAATATTTGTCAAGGTGATTTAGATGGAAAATTTCATTTTTGTCATTTTATGTTTGAATTTGAATTTTGAAAATAATTCATACATATCATTTATTGAATGAATAATAATTTTTGTGGAAATTTAATAGAGAAATATTCCAAAATTATCAAAAATATGTCAAATATACATTTAAAATAAACCTTTTACAGTTAAAACAATACATAACAAAATTCTTTTTTTTCCGAAAACAGAATTTAACAAAAAAAAAATGATATTAGTGAAAATTGAAAAAGTTAAAAAGAAAAATTCTTATTCAATTAATCGAAATCGATTTAAATCAACTTTGACTAATCAATTAATTAAAATTAATTTAAGATAGTGGATAGAAAATTTACATCAAAGAGAAAAATTAATTAATATTGTTTGCGCATTTTTATTTGGCTAAAAGACCTTTCAAAATAAAATTCAATTTTGTATTATTCAAATTTTGATTTATGTATATTATTCATTAATTTTTCATACAAAATGTCTTTTTTTTTTTCTTGTTATAATGATCGATACCAATTAGTTTCAATCATTATGTCCACTATCTTTCTTTTTCATATCATCCCTTAGTGACCATCAAATATTTACGTTTATTGATTTTTCTCGTCAATTATCCTTTCTTAGATCTTTTCCTAGATATTGCTTTATAACCAAAGTGACTCAACCCTACTACTCTTGACCATTTTCCTTCTCCACCTTTATCTCTAATTTTCCTAACATTTCTCTCTAAATGACCAAACCTATTAACTTCTTCTACATCTTTTTCAATCCCTTTTTTTTTCTTTCACCTGCTCTAATATTCCCAATCAGTAAGAGCTTCAGGAAATTATCCGGGATTTAGTTCAACCTATTTCCGTAATTGCGAACATGATCGTATACAAATTTCCTGAATTATTCATATAGCAAAAAAAAAAAAAATGTAATTTTTATTTTACATTCATGAATAAAAGAAACAAAATAGCCTTGAATATACATGTATAAATATTGCAATCAGCACTTTAAATTTCTAAATTAAACTAAAATTGAATTTTTGAGGAATCCTATTTCTGGAATATTGGCCATAAAATGAGTATTAATTATTGAGAAGGGCCAAAAAAAAAAGGCTGAAAAAAAAATGATTAGGTCATTGCCATTGTGACTTTTGCACTGAAAAAGTTTATTGTATTTTTTACATATATGATAATTTCATCAAATATACAACAATTCTGATTAATGAATGTATAGTTTCATATTCAATCAAAATAAAATGGATAAAAAAATTAGGTCAAAAAATTTTAAGGTAAAAGTTTTTTGCTAAGAAAAAAAAAAGAAAATGATGTAAATAAAAGCCTTAAGGGTTGTTTTTTAATTTTTTTTTATGTTTTAAAAGAAAAATATTGCTATGTTATAGGAAAGAGGTGAATAACTAAAAGCTATTACGAGACTAGCTTAGTAAGTGCCATTTATGATCGATTCAAGCCAGAAATCAGTTATCTGTCCAATGCTCCCTTGTACCAGTAGCCTAGGCTTCATTTATAAGCAAAGCCTTATTCCCCTCTTCACAATTTATATGAGATTTACCTCCTCTCTCAGTTGCTTTTCCTCTTTTTTCCCTTTCCTAGTTCCTCTTTCAACAAATTCTTCCTTCCTTTTTTTTTTTTCTCACGAAATTGAATATTCATATTTTGTTTATAATTTAATTTTTGGTTTTTTTTCGTTTTCTTCAAAAAATTTTCGCATTTCTATAAGTTCTTTGAAAAACGAATGATTTATCACTGATAAGGTTATCATCACTGATAACAACAATTGACAGCATTTAATGACACATATGTATAAATCAATATATTTTCCATACATTTAAATTGAAATTCCGCGAAATTTTATGTAATTTAAAATCAATTGCAAAGTGATAATTAATGGTTGGCCAAAATTTTTCATAATTTAAAATTAATTCAAACTGATAATTAATGGTTAATTAAACTTCGATGTATAATCAACAAGTTATAAGTAATGTTAATAGTATTTAAATCATTTGAAATTGATATGCTAGGAAAAAAAGCCAAAATAACCATAAAGTTCAAGAATTGGCATGCATTTGCATGCTGCATGCGCTAATGTTGTCATCATTAATCGATGCTAAAAAAATAATTCTTTTTTTAATTTAGAATTAGAATTTTTTACTTCATCGAACATTTGTCAATAAATACTGATAAAACTGTAATTATAAAATCAAACATTCAAATTTACACTGATAAATGATAACCATTCAAATGATAACATAATGTATTTGGCTTTAAATTACAAAATAGTTTAAAAGTGAATAATTTTCAACTTATATTTCATATTCATATTCATTTATTTCATTATTTAATTTCTATCTTACAAAATATCGAAAGAAAAACCAATAAATGTAAAATTGAATAAATTAAATTATTTTAAAATAATACAAAACAATAAATTCATTTTTGCTTTTCAAATATCTCATTTTTGTTGAATGAAATAAAAGATTGAATGGAAATGATTTTGGCCAATAATTTAAGCTTAGGAATAATGAGACGGAAGAAGCCAAGAAAGATGTTGGTTGATTGGAGACAATGATGGCAACGAAATGGGACCAAACTAGTTGTCCAATACATTTAATGAAAGAATGAACTGCTACTGCCATCTACGAGTTAATTTCATTGACAATGTCTTCAAATTGCTCTTTTAAGATAGAAATGTTGCAAATTTTACAAGAATTCAATGAATTTATATTATGTATAAATTTAAAAAACTTTTTCATTTAATTATTTGCTATTTTTTTTTTTCAAAATAATTCACCACGCATAAGCATTATTTTTTATTAGAATATGCTAATAAAGGTCAAACATTAGAATATGCTAATAAAGGTCAAACATTAGAATATGCTAATAAAGGTGATTATTAGCATATTCTAATGTTTGACGTAAATATTTATCAGAAATAATTACATACATTCCATATTTTGACGTAAGCATTCAGAAGGAATGATTACCTATATTTCAAATTTTACCGTAAACTTTTACGGTAAATGGTTGCGTATATTTCAAACTTTGATGCAAAACTTTTTCGGCAAATAATCCAGAAATATAAATTTAATTTAAAAATTAATTTAAATCAGAATTTTTTTTAAAGAAAATTTTAGCAACAAAATATATTTTGCTTAATTAGCTAACATGCTTACCAATTAATTAATATTTACATACTTTTACAGTCAAAAAAAAAGAAAAAAGAAATTTTCCGAATTTTTTAACTGTAAATCATTTTTTTAGGAAATTTTTTTTTTTTTTTTGGTAGTAAAAAATGCAACATTGATCAATTAGTAAATTTATTAGCTAATTAAGCAAAATATGCGCCATAAAATATTTCAAAAATATTTGATTTAAGGCTATTTTAACATTTGATTAATTCTTATCATATCATTTCGTACATTTATCATAAATGATTGAACAGATGGAAGAGGAACGATGCATAAATTTTTAAATTATTTTAATTCTTTAAATAGTAACTAATTTTGTAGAAGAAGAAGAGTGAGGAAGCAGAAGATAGAAGGAGAGAGAGAGAAAAAAACGAGAAAAAAAAACAAATGTGCCATTGGATTTGAATAAATAAACGACTATTAAAAAAGGAAAATGATGAATGAAAGACTAGAAGCCTAGTCTGGATGTATTAGTTCAAGCCTAGTCTAGATGTATTAGTTCGAGTCTAGCCTAGATGTATTAGTTCTATCTTGGGATATGAAACTTCCCAACACCCAATTGAAAATGGAAAATCGAATTTTTGCTATCTTGCAAAATTGGCATGATATTTGTATGATGCGCCTTGGCAATTATATCTCAAAAATTCTCCATCCTCTTCTCTCTCATATCATTTCCTCCTTTTCTTTCACTTCTTCTTATCTCAAATAAGCCAAATTCAATTTTAACAAAATTATTTTACATTAAATAAATAATATTTAAAATAGTAATATTTGAAATCAAATAAGTAATATTTGGAATAATAATATTTGAAATTATGTAAATAATATTTTAATAACAACGATTG